TGCAAATTGAGGCACAGAACAAGCAAGGCAGCCACTGGTCGGATGATCAAAGAGTGAGAGACAGGAAAGGCGAGGCTCCCCGAGCCATTTATCACTCCGCCCTTCAATTAATCCCACTTGTGTTTATCGGCCCGGCTGGCACAATAAACTATCTCACCTCATTTCTCAGGGGTTGGACCAAATTAGGCAACTTGCTGAAATATACAGTTGTTAAGAAGCAGAAACAAGACCCATCTATAACCAAGATTCATTCTGCTGTTAAGCTCTGCTATAAACAATGTTATTGCAGAAAAAGAAGTGTTTAAAAAAGAAGAATGCTACATGCTAAAATGGGTTATGAAATGAGAAGAACTACCCTCCATGCTATTTCGGCTGGGTTCAGCGAATAGATATACTTTACCCAGTACACCTGCATGGAGGTAGACTTATTCTTGCGATTCCAGAGACAGAATGATGCAAAGAAAAGGACTGAGACTTTTGTAGCACACCATTTAGTGCGCTCAACTAATAATCACCAAGAATAATGGAGGTTGAGTATTTGACACATGTCAGGCACTGTTCTAATCAGTTTATGTGGATTATCTCTTCTAAACCTTTCCCCAACCCTATGGTCTACATTTCAGAGATGAGGGTTAGAGAGGATAGGTACATTTCAAAAAACACTGGTATATTCCGGCCAAATGGAACATTCCTGCCAAGACCGATTCTTAAGGAGAACATTTTTTTTCTGGGCCTCTTCATTCCCGTAAACACATATTAGGGTTCTGACTCAAAACAGCCCTATGTACAACAGAACAAAACGTGGCCGGCTCCTGCTCCCTCCTACCAATTGTTCTTTCGTTTGAGCTCATCTTGGCAGCCACTGTGCTAATCCATCTTATGAAGGACCTTCTTCTTTTTCCTGGACCCTATACTTTACCAAGCCTGTTGTCTTCCTCCAGGGACTGGTCTCTCCTATAAGCATGTCCAAATGAGATGAGATGATGTCTTGCCATCCTTGCTTCTAAGGAACATCCTGGCTGTATTTCTTCCAAGACAGATTTGTTGGTTCTTTTGACAGTTCATAGTACTTTCAATAGTTTTCACCAGTACCATAAATCAAATGCATCAATTCCTCTTCAGTCTTACTTATGCATGCAGTGTCCCACTTTCACATGCATATGAGACAACTAAAAAAATCATGGCTTGGATCAGGCTTGTCTTAGTCCTCAAAGTAATAGCCTTGCTTTTCAACATTTTAATGAGGCTGTGTGCAGCAGGTTTATGCAATGCAATACATCGTTTGACCTCTGGAATGAGCATTGATTGTGGATCTAGGCAAGAAGAAATCCTGGGTAATTTCAAACTCCTCTCCATTTATCATGATGCTACTTATTGGTCCAGTTGTGAGGATTTTGGTCTTCCTTGCATTGAGTTTCAATCCATATGGAAAGGCTGCAATCTTTGATCTTCATCAGCAAGTGCTTCAAGTCCTCCTCACTTTCAGCAAGCAAGGGTGTGTCATCTGCATATCGCAGGTTGTTAATAAGCCTTCCTCCAATCCTGATGCTACGTTCTTCTTCATATAATCCAGGCTCTCTGATTATTTGCTCAGCATACAGATTGAAAAGTATGCTAAAAGGTACAACCCTGATACACACCTTTCCTGATTTTAAACCATGCAGAATGCCTTTGTCCTGTTAACACGCCTGCCTCCTGATATATGGACACAATGGAGTGTTCTGGAATTCCCATCCTTCTCAATGCTATCGAGTTTTTTTTATGGTACACACAGTTGAATGTCTTTGCATTTATGTTTTAGGAAGACACAATTCAAACCATAACATATTTGCAAATCTTTGGAGTAACCAGAGACGCATCTCTTCATGTGTTATGTGTTGCCTGCATAAAAGCTGAGACCTTTCATATAAAACAAACACAGAAAATATTCACATGCTTACCTGTGCTTCTCAAACAACATTTATGAAAATTGAAGCTATAACCCATAACAATACTAATTGAAAAACCCCCATAACTCTGTTTTCATCCATTTCCCCTTTCCACTCCATCAGACTGATCAATGTAGACTCTTCAACTTCTGCTTTCATGTGTAACCATCACCCGACCCTTCCCAACAAAGGAGCGATGTGGTAGAAAACCTGTTGAGCTATTCACTATAAATTAGCCAGCAAGCCTGTGCTTAACCTGCCATCCTGAGTAACCCAACACTCAATTAATGTCAATTCAAAGTCTTGCTCCTGACTAATAAATTCTCCTATCACACTGATGGGTAGATCATATGGATACTGAGAAGAACCTCTCAGGGGTTCTCCTGCCCAAGCTTCTGTGTGCCTGATGAGAGGCCAACTGCCAATGACCTGCTTTTGCCTCTGCCAGTGGTGTGAACAGAACGAACAGTGCAGAAGACTTCACCTGCCTGAGCTCCTTGTGGCGCCGCTGCACAGGCTGACTCGATATCCCTTGTTGCTGAAGAACATCTGGAAAAGAAGTATTGACTCGACTGAGAAAATCCTGATCTACACCATCAAGGAAAAGGTGGAAACATCAATCCGTAAGTCCCTGAGATCAGTGACCCAGAGCTCCAATGGTCACTTGATCAAAGGTGGGCGGCTGGACAATGTGGTTTCTGGGCACCATCTCCCTTCCATACTGGAAGGTAATTCCATGGACTTTAAGGTCATAACTGGCTCTTGGAAAGTGCATTTGAGCTTGAGTTCATTATCTATCTATCAAACACTCTCCAAACAACGGGGTCCAGTCAGATCCTGGAGAATTGCTGTAAGAATTCTAACACCAGGTTTACAACAGGACATGACTCTCTCCAAGGGTTTCAGAAGTGAGTTCAGACAGGAAAAGTTCTACTTCCCAGGTAATTGAAGGCACTTTGTTTACCACATTCATGACGAGCCCACACACAAAGCAAGGGTAATGAGCACCATAAGACCATCAAGAGAAGTTGCCATTCATCATTTTGTTTAGGTTTCTAAAATCCAACGTCAATGTAAAAGAAATTCCAATCTCCAGAACTGAAGTTTGAAAATAAGAATTGGGCATACCCTCTGATGACTTAAGTTCACTGTGGAGGCTTTGTATAATTGAAATTCAAGCCCCAAAGTCTGTCGTTTGTGCCCTTTAACCAAGATTTCCTTGAAGGCATCAAAAGAGAATAAGTGCAATTAACCACCACAGCTTATTTTTTTTTCGGACTTTTGTAAGTACAAAAGTAAAAGTGACCATGCATCTTTGTCCTCAAGTTCTAAAGTGACCAAGGAATTAAGATTAAGCTTATCAACTGAAAAGGACAAAAAAAAAAAATCAATGAAAAGTATGCTTTTAAAAATCACGTTGAGGGATAAATAATTTTAAAATAACCTCTGCTCTGGAAATTTCTTAATAAAAGAGTCTTATTGTTGAGGGAAGAGATGGATGTGGCCTTCCTTTAAGTCTGACACAAAGGTAATGAATTCTCAAGAGCTTCACTAACAACATGATTCTATAGGTGTGTAAACCCTCTCAATGGGTCAGTCCTGGTGGTTTGGGTGGGTTATGGTTTGGGTGGTTGCTAACCACAAGGTCAGCAGATCAAAGCCATCAGCCACTCTGTGGGAGAAAGAGCAGCTTTCCACTCCCATAAAGCTACAGTCTCGAAAACCCACAGAGCAATTCCACCCAGTCCTATTGGGTTCCTGTGAGTTTGGATTGACTCAAAGGCAGTGTGTGAGTGAGTAAGTGAGTGAGTGAGTGAGTGAACTCTCTCTGTATTAAAATTTCATTTCATCAGGCTAATATTGGAAAATTAATGCAAACCTGAGTGAGTGAGTTAGTGAGTGAGTGAGTGAACTCTCTGTTTTAAAACTTCATTTCATCAGGCTAATATTGGAAAATTAATGCAAACCTGAGTGAGTGAGTGAGTGATTGAGTGAGTGTGTTAGTGAGTGTGTGAGTGAGTGAGTGTGTGAGTGGGTGAGTGAGTGAACTCTCTCTGTTTTAAAATTTCATTTCATCAGGCTAATGTTGGAAAATTAATGCAAACCTACCAAAACTTAAAAAAGAAATCATCAAGTTGATTATAATTCATAGCAACTCTGGAGGGCTGAGTAGAACTGCCCTTTCCTGTTTCCCAGTCTGTATTGATGATGGAAGCAGGTAGCCTCATCTTTCTCCCCTGGAGCAGCTGGTGGGTTTGAACCACTGACCTGGTGGTTAGCAGCTCATCATATAATCCACTTTCCGGCTAGGACTTCTATAGAGACCTACAAAAAGTAAAAATGAATTATTACTAAAAAGAAATGATCATCATCATTATGAAGGAAATGTCTGCTTTAGAATTAAGACCAAAAGATAGGGTTGTCTTTATTAGCCCACTATTTTTCCCTCTGCTAATCCAGTAGTATTTTTTCTTTTTTTCCATGTAGGCTGTGAGGTAGAGGAAATAAGGGAAAAGTACAAAGGGCTTTGTTGGTACTATTGAATTAAAAATGCACAATACATTTCCAACTCACTGAATTAAATTAGTTAAGCCTCATTCTTCTCTGCAAAAGGCTAATTTCAAATTAGTGAGTTGTCTTAGATGTTTAAACAGCAAGTAACATAAATGAACCTAAGATACAGTTTGGCTTCACTGGCAGTCAATGTCTCTAAATGATCACTGTGGAAATTTATGCGGCAATGTCACTTGCATATAAAACATATGTCTTGTCTTTCAGGAGACCTTGAAGGAAAAGTGAAGTGGCTTGACAATTTCCAAAAACTTAGACACCTACAAGAGATTATCGTGTGGCCTCCGCTTTGGGATAGAGATAAAAGGTTTTTCATTCCAGAGGTACAAAAGGATCTGTTGGGACTTAGGTCCTTTCCCAGAGTCTTGGCTTTCAGGTGAAAATACAGTAGTCCTCAAGAGTTCCCAGCTGTCCACTTGAACAATCAGTCTAGTTTGCTAAGGCAGAAATAGAGCTCGGACCCACCTGGCATTGTGGGGGAGGGGGGAGGTCATCACACTATTCTCGGGGTCTCCCTCTGGGAGTTCCTTCCTTGCTATCAGGGCTGCCCAGTCAGACACTTCCAAACATCCTGAGCTTCCTAGACAGAGTCCCTTGTCCCGACTCCTTAGCCATGTTCTCTTCCCGTCACTAATGACATCTCCGTTCTCTTCTCTCCATTGTTTGCCAAGTGCCTGAAACACATTTTCAAAGAACACATGGCAGAGAACATCTTGTCACCCACCAGCAGACACCTTCTCTACGAGGGGAAATTAACTCTTGCAGGTAAACCGCTCCTTCCTTAAGGTACTTACACGGTCACTTGCCTCTGGCCTGGCAGCTGGTTCAGTGGTTCCTCGCTGAAGGGGTCGGAGGAACTGTGCTTGCCTCTGTCCGAAGTGGGAGGAGAAGTACTGCAGAGAGCACCTCCTCAAGTTATATCACCTGCAGCTAAACGCAGCCTTCCCAGCCTAACCGTTTCTCTCTGTCAGGTGAGGCTAGCAATAGCTATCGCATAGGACCACGGTCAAATGAACTAGCATATGCAAGGGGCTTGGCATCAAGTCTAGAATACAGTCAGCACCGAATCCATGTTAGCTGTGATCATCATTAACATCATCATTTCCCATTTCCACTGAGCCAGAAAATCAACTATTATGTGTTTATTAAGAACCTAGCATGCACCACACCATATTTTACTAGATAGATATATTAGGAGATATAAAACTAATGGGGGAGATAAAATTGTTGGGGAGGGAGGAAAATGAGGAGCTGATATCAAGGGCTCAAGCAGAAAGCAAATGTTTTGAGAATGATGAGGGCAACAAATGTACAAATGTGCTTGACACAATGGATGCTATGTATGGATTGTGATACAAAGTTGTACGAGCCCCCAATAAAATGATTTTAAAAAATTGTTGGGGAAATGAAAAACAAACTTTACGCACTGCCCTAATGGCAAGAGTTACCATGGCGAGGCTGTGTTAGCTGCTGTTGAGTTGGCTCTTGACTCCTGGTGACCGTGTGCACCAGAGGGAAACCTGCTGCCCAGGCCTGCATCCTCCCCATGTGCTGGCGGTCAGATTGCCATGCTCCACTGGGTTTGTAGGGACCAATTGTTCAGCAGTATTCACCAGGAAGCTTCACTGAAACCTACTCTGCATCATAACAATATGCATGACAAATGGGAAGTGGCTGTGCATGAGGTGAACTGGCTGGGAACTGAACATGGGCTTCGTGCATGTTGTTAGATGCTCAGCAGTTGGTTCCAACTCCTAGCGACAGAACGAAACACTGCCCTGTCCTGCACCACCCTCCCGATTGCTCTGATGTTTGAGCACCACCACTGGCCCTGAGAGCTGCAACCGGAGTTCACACGAGAGCGTCTGCGAGGATGAAGCAGGATCACGCGAGAAAGCTCCATGCAGGGGATGGACATGGAGATGGGCTGTGAGGCGGAGAAAGGGTTGGGACCCTGGAAGGACAGGGAGACGACAGCCCAGAGGAAGAGGAGAGCAAAAGGACAGCGTGGAGGCACAAGCCCCTGGAGAAGGGGCTGCAACGTTAGCAAGCACCTGCTCCACCTTACCTTCAAATTCCAAGTAAAGACAGATCTAGGAGCAGACCTGGTTTATCAACCGGGCACTGCCTGTAGTTTGACCAACAAAAAGCCTTTTCTCTTGTAACGAGCACCATTTCCAATGACCATCCAGATGGGTCCAATGGCCAAAATGCTGTGAGTTATGTATTTCTCCATGGCTTAGTCAAAACCATAACCAATAACCATCCAAGATCCACACGAAGTGCATCACAAATAGCAGTACAGTGACTTTAAAGTTGAAAGCTGATACTCAAATCAAGTCTGTGTTTTAAGAAGAGAGAAACTCAACATTAACCCAATTGGCTGAGGCAGAGACTGGCGATCTTGGAGCTCCCAGCCGGAACAGCATTCCCCAGCCTGCTTTGTTTCAAGGCAGCGGTTCTCCGCCTTCCTCATGCCGTGACCCTTTCATACAGTTGCCCATGCTGTGGTGAACCCCCAACCATAAAATTATTTTCGTTACTACTTCATAACTGTAATTTTGCTACTGTTACGAATCCCTGTGAAAGGGTGGTTCGACCCCAAAAGGGGTTGCGACCCACATGTTGAGAACTGCTGTTTTAAGGGATTCTTTGACAAAAGCAAAACCTTGTGCTATTTCAAGCACCATTTTCCTTTTCCTTTCTTTCCTCAGAAAGCACAAGATTCCTAGACGTTTACCTGTTTCTCTTTGATGACTTCCTCTTAGTTACAAAAACTAAGAGAAACAAAAAGGTAAAATGCTGCACAGCGCTTTTTAATACGATTGAACTATTAAATTGCATGTGTGAATTATATGCCGAAAAACTATTTTTCAAATGTAGAAAATGAATGGGCTTTTAAAAAGTAAAATGCTGTTTCTAAATAATAAATTGTACTTAAAATAGAAACGCTTCTGATACACCAGATTGGATTCTCCCTCTAAAAATTGGAGACATTATGAAATATTAACTTTTGAAATGAGATAGCTGTGAGACCAAATGATATCCCTCAAAGAATTCTAAGGATTTGGGCATTTCAGACAGACTTAGCATGTAATACTGAGAATCCATAGGACTTTATGGCTGACTGGCCTAAGCAAAGAGATCCACACTCACTGTGCACGTCGGAGTTTTCCTCTTCCAAATCGGCTCCCAAACTGTCTTCCGCCATGTGCCAAGAGGTGATGGCTCCCTCTCCTTCTGATTAGAAAGCTCCCATCGTTCCTGAGCTTTGACCTAAGGAACGGGGATGAGATGGGGGCCTGCGCTTTTCAGGGTCCAGTTATCTAAGAACTAGTGAAGGCAGACACTGGATTCGTTGGTCTCACAGACAAAGGGAGACGGGGAAGACTTTACATGCTATCAAGTTGCCCCGCCTCCTTACAGCCCCATCCCAAACAGAACCTAGCTCTGTGCCATATTCCCCAGCTGCCTTCAGGCGGTTATGACCCACAGGGTTTTTTCATTGACTGAATTTGGAACTACATCACAAGGCCTGTCTTCCTACTCTGTCTGAAAGCTCTGCTGAAACCTGCTTGGCATCGTAGCAACACACAAGCCTCCACCGACCAATGGCTAGGTAATGGGTGGCTGCACCTGAGGGGCATTTGCCAGGAGTCAAACCAGCCTTCTGTGTAGAAGACAAGAATCTACCCGTGAACCATCACTGCCCCCTAGCTTAGAACTAGAGCCATAGTATCTCTTCTAAGACTAGGGAATTTTAAAATATATAGTATTTCTTTCCTGTGAATTGGGTGCAGGTTTACAGAGCAGATCATCAGTTTTACATTCAACAATTCATGCACAATTTGTTTAAACTCATTCCCTGCAATACTGTCAATGCAGAGAATAGGAATTGTTGTACAGTATTTAATTGTTAGTGGTTAGCATCATTATTGTTGTTATTGCTCTTTTTATTGCTCATTAAGTCACTGGTCATGGTTTACCCAAGACAACCTGTCTACTCTCCTGTTGACAATCTGTTCCTTGGTAGTACAGGTGAGTAGGGCCAGAAAGGCAGGCTCCTCCCAGGTGCTCAGCAAACTGCGCTAACGGACACACCGAAGTCTAGTGTCAGTTCATTGCACTTACCTTTCTACTGCATACAGGTGGTGGTACAATCAGGAAACTAGATCTCTATATCTTTTCATAAGCTAGGTTTCTAAATGACGTGGTGGGAGCTAGGGGCCACTGAGTCAGTTCCAATTCAGAGCATGTTACTTAATTGCACTATGTCTAGGATCTTTAAGCAAGAACATAGAGAGCCATGTATCAGCTCCGGAGGCTGATCTGCAGTTGGAGAGAAAGTAGGAGAAAGCGGAGGGCCATCATCTCAGAATCCTGTGGCTGCTTTCAGCGACCCTGACAGCAAGTCAGAACAAGCCACATTCTGAAAAATCTCTATCTGGATGCTTGACACTGTAACAATCTACCCGTATTTCAAACAATGATACAAATCAGAGAGCAAGAGTTAAGGACAGTCTGCATAAACCATCTTGTAAGGAACCTTTTGCTTTTATAGGCTTCACAATTTGACTCCCACACACAGGAATGTTATCAGTTTTGGATTTGCTCATTACCATTTTGTGATACATACACACACGCGTGCACACACCATGTATACTCGTGTATAGCCGTGTTTTTCAGCACATTTTTAATGCAGTTTTGTGGTAAAATTAGGCGCCTCAGCTGATATTCAGGTCAGCTTATATGCGAGTATATACGGTGTGTATGTATGTGTGTGTATAATGTAATATAATGTAAATCATAATATTTTACACCCTGACTCCCAAATTCAGCATCTCATAGATTCAAAACCATTTCAATGATACACAAATTCTAGAGCATGAACTCTCTTTAGAGTTCTACATTTGCTTCCACACATGCAGTTGGCCAAAATGAGGCTTCCTTGCCTCACCCACAAAGCTCAATACTAATGAGTGTTTCAGACTGTGGATGAAGCTGGTTCCATGGGGTGACAAGGAATTAAATGGTTCCCAACTATGAATGTCAACTATTCTTCATTAATTAGACTTGGAGATGAGAAGCACTGTGCTTTAAGTCACTGTGTTTGGGGGACATGTCTCTCAAGACCCAAGAATAGTAAGCTACACTTCTTAATTGTCTCTACAGTCTGTTCCCTTAAATATTCATTTTCCATATGTACTCCAGTATTTATTGTCTACTGACTGCATTATTTTCTTCTTGAATTTCAGAAATTTGGAGGATTAGACCCTGGCTTAATGTGTCCTTCACTTACTCCTGACCTACAAACAGTAATAAAAGAAGGTGGTTCGTGCACAGTCCTCGATCAACCCATCCCACTAGATAGATTGGTACTCAAAAATATCGATCCTCTTCACGTGTCAGGTATGTGTGCAGCTTCATCTTCTGGTTCATCTATATGACAGCACAGGGTTTTATATTTGGCTTTTAAGTAACAGCACATGAATCCCATTTACATCTTCATAAAACACAGTCCACTTCGTGACTCAATTTCATGCACTCTGAATTCGTGATTGAGAGCAGTGTGCTGGGATGACCCGGTGTGCACTGGCTAGCTGGATGGCTTTGGACAAGGTACTTAATTGTGCTCAACCACACTCCTCTACAGACAATAGTATCTGTGTCAGTGGGTTCCTGTGAGACTTGGGTCAAATATGATAGCTATAACTATCATGATTATAGTACCGTTACTAGGACGATTGCTGTTGTCAAGGTGCTGGTAAACCATGGCATGTGATGCAAATATAAGATACTCTGTCATACTTGCTCTATGGAAATATAGCACACTTCATCTATAAACAGCTATCTACGAGTGTGTATATGGGCACACACACCACACAGGTCGTCTTGAGTGTCTCCCAGCTCTCGGAGCCACGGAGACACAGAGATGAACGAGAATCCGGGTTTGGGGAGCTCGAGGAGCTCCTCTCAGAACAATGGAAAATCAGGAAAGCCTTTGAGAAAGCTCCTTCCAACACCACCTGGATGGTGGCGGCTGTGCACAGGAAGAAGCAGTGACCAGTTGAGGTCAGGCAGGAGTGGACAGGACAAGAGGGAGCACTGACCACGCTCCCTCCATGACTAGCATCAACCAGACCCTCTGTCGTGGAGCCCATCCCAATGCACAGCAACCCTGTGGGGCCGGGCAGAACTGAGCGCCAGGGCTTTGCAGCTGGAATTTCAGCGTCAGACGCAGACTGCCCCATCTTTCTCTCCTGGAGCGGCTGGTGCTGGTTAGTTCAAACTACCCACCTGCTGGTTAGTAACCCAATGCTTAGCCCATAGCACCATGACTCCCTAAGACTGGCTTCGGATCTGCTTTATGCAGAGAAAGACACCATTACAGAGTAACAAAATGAACACATAAATGAGTAACAGCAAATGCTTATATAGTTGTGCTACCAAAGTGTTATATATTAAATCCCTTACATCTATTAACACATAAGGGTTCCCTTGAGGGGAAGTCTGAATCCAGAAATAGAGCTTTCTGCCTCTCACGGCTACTCTTTCTGCTTCTAGTATGAATTGCCGACATATGACACTGGCATGCTTCAGGCTTGTGTTTGATTTGGCTGGTACAAAGCCTGCTCTAAAAGGAGTCTTTGTGGTGTATGGGGGAAAGGGCCAGCCCCCCACCACTAATCACGGGTTCCATAGGCATTAATTGCACGGTTAATATATATATATAAATTATAGCAAAGTCATAAAGAGCATGAGATAAAAGATTGAAATAATGGAGTCAGACAGTTTTCATGGTAGCATGCTCACCTCATCCCTGCTTGGTTGTCCACATGGAGAGAGGGGGAGGGGAAGGAGGACAAGGGGAAAGGGAACAGGGGAGAGAGTATGGGAGAGGAGAGGAGAGGGGGAACCAATGAGAAGTCAAGAGGGGAGCCCGAGAGAGCTCTTTATTGCTAACACAGGCCTATATACCTTTAGGGTGGGGGGTGCAAGTCCACTAACTACAGGTAAAGACACACGTCACAGGAAGGGGTTGCACTATAGGTAATACAGCAATGAGAGGGGGGGTCAATCTAGGGATATACATGCAATAGGAAGAGGAGGGATTGGGGGTATACATGGGACAAGAAGGGCGGATCCTAGATTTAGGATAGCAAGCTAACTTTGGATGTCATTGAGCCGGTTTGATCTGGTCTCTGGATCTCCATAGAAACCATTATCAGTAGGGTGTAAACCCCACCTACAGGAACCAAATTGATGACTGCAAGCCTTTAGGAAGAGGTATCCCACTGTCCTTAACAGCAGGGAGCAGGCCTTATCTGTGGTGGGACTAGACAGTAGTCTGGCAGCTGACTGCCTTCAGGGAAGTAACTTGACCATTATCTACCATTAGCTGCAAGCAGTGTCCTATTTGGGGGAGACGACTTAGGAGAAATCTTTCTGTTTTCCACAGTGGTGCTGTCTGGTAGCCATTGGACTGCTAACCGAAGAGTGAGTAGTTCAGGCCCAACAGCTGGTCCCTGGGAGAAAGATGAAGCTGTTTGTGCTCACAAAGATTTTCAGCCTCTAGGACACTAAGCCTCATAATTAGCTAGATGGCAGTAGGTTTGGGTGTGATCATGGTCCACACAAGCCAAAGTTTGCACAAGCCAGAGGTCAGGAGCAAGCCTAAAAGGGAAGCTTTAGGGGAGCAAACCCTTGGCCCGATGAGTGCCCTGGACTTCAGCGTGACGCGCATCCTTCCTCAGTCATCAGACATCTGTGTGGACTGACAGAGATTAAGTACCAGGTCCAGAAACCAGTGCTTGTTGTCCAGGAATCAGTACTTGGGCCCAGACGTCAGTAGGTGGGAACCAGAAATACAATGCCTTTTGGTTTGCTTAAGGAGCCCTGCTGGCATAGTGGGCTCCTAACCGCAAGGTCAGCAGTTCAAAGCTATCAGGTGCTCCATGGCTAAGATGAGGCTCTCTGCTCTCATACTAATGCATAGCCTTGGAATTCTAGGCTGCTCTATGAATTGGCGATGAGTCGAAATTTACTCCATGGCAGTTGAGGTTTTTTGGTTAATTTTTTTCCTGGAGAAAATGACCATGGTGGAAGGATTCCATAGTAAGCATTTATTCCTTCGGTAGTGGGTGTGATGATTCTGGAATGGGAACTAAACAGGAGGGAAGGAAGGTACCACAACCCCTGATCATCAAGTCAATGCCTACTTAGAGTGAGCCTATGGATGGAGTAGAACTGTCCCTGTGAGTCTCTAAGATTGTAGAAAGAGATTGTAGCAAACCCTTTTTCTCCTGTGGAGGGGCTGGTTTAAAATCACTGACTTCGCCATCAGCATCTCAACTCAAAACCACAGTGCCACCAGACCTTCTCCTTCAAACCCCATGTGGAAGAGCTACGGACTCTTGGATGGAAAGCCCTGCCAGGTTTAAGAATTAATCAATATGGGAAAGCTGCGATCACTGGGAAGTCCTGCTGGTAGAGTGGGTTTCACATTGTCAGTGGTTCAAAACCACGGCTGCCCTATAAGACAAAGATAAGGCTTTCTATTCCTATGAAAATTTTAGTCTCAAAAATCCCCAAGCTCAGTTTGGCCTGGTCCTATAGGGTCCTTATGAGTCAGGATCAGCTCAGTGGTTTTGAGTATGGTGTCTTATGTCTGGGTTTGGTATTTGACGTGAGATTATCTTGGAAGGTATGTACCACTTGATTTTTTTTTAAGTGGAAATCAAAGTTTTTAAAACTATACTTCCGCCTCCCCTGTTCTTTTGTTTTATTATTATTTCCTGATTTATGCCACATTTTTTGTTGTTGTTCTTGAATTACTCTGCTGTATTATTTTGACTGTTCAAGTACAATGCAGGGGACATAAATTGAACTTTGGAGCAATAAAAACCTGGTTTCAAATTCTGACCATGCCATTTATATACTCTGTGACTTGTGACAAATTAGTCTAGATCTGTTTTTCCTCATTTATAAAGTAGAAAAATGGCTGATTTATAAAATGTTGCTATGTAATTAAATGACAAAAAATGGGGCAGGCGGGGGCACAGTGCCTGATATGTCATAAATGCTTCATAAATCTTGTCATTTATCATAATATCAGGAGGGAAGATGTTACCCTGCCCTATGAGTATTGCTACAAAGTTATATAAATCTCTATGAACCAAATAAATCTGAATGTAAACCTGTTTCTTGATATATCCTCCATCCACTTCTATATATTTCCAAAGGAAGTATTTCTCTAATGTTTAGCCAAAGAGTCCTGTATATTTCTATTCATATCACATTCAAATGGCAGTCTTGGCATACTCTGGCGGCTCAAATCATGTTCCTTTTAAATGTTCTTTGAGTCTGGGGAACAAAAAGACGTCCAAAGGGGTAAGAGCAGGTAAGAGTAGGGTGGATGGGATAAGGCCTTCAAATGAAACTCTCTTACGACAGCTCTTGCTGCTCCCAAAAGTGAGCAGATGCATTTTCATGATGAAAAAACTGGTCCACGAGGGAAGGGGGAGCGGGGAGGGGAAAAAAATGAGGAGCTGATTCCAAGAGCCCAAGTGGAAAGCAAATGTTTTGAGACTGATGAGGGCAACGAATGTACAAATGTCCTTGACACAATGGATGGATGGATGGATTGTGATAAGAGTTGTATGAGCCCCCAATAAAAT